GCCGAAAGGTTCGATCGGGAGACTTCTGCAAGCACGCGCAGCAGCCAGACTCCGGACATCCCAGGTCCAGGCCTCGGGCACCTCCTCTATGGCTCCCTCTACAGCAGTCAAGTCCAAGCCTAGACCGAAACGACGGCATCCGCAAGCTCAGGAACAGATGGAACAGAGGGACCCGCCGAGGACTATTCCTCCGGACCTGGAGGTTGTGCTGCCCACGCCCTCCGCTTCCACACCTGGGGACGTGGAGTTTGTGCAGGTCGGCAAGATGACCCAGACACAGGAGAGAGACAGCTCTGGTTCAGGACAGTGGTATATCACCACGCCAGCTCGCCCTGAACCGGTTCCGGTGCTGGATATGCCAGCATGGCTTCGTCAAGTTTTAACCCAGAGACCAGAGGAGCCGGCTCCACCTCCGCCTAGGAAACGTGCCAAAAGCAGCACGACAGAAGGCTCGACCGCCGCGGCTCCGAAGCCAGTTCGAGATTACATGCAGGGCTCAGTTTGTGCAGTTGCCATGGACTGTCGATGCCTCCCCCTTGTAGCACCTCACCCTCTGCATCTGCCTCCACCTCTTCCACTGTGCAGGAGCCGAGAGGTGCTCACGTGGCAGGGAGGCTCAGATACTCTGCCCAGCCAGGCTCTGCATGCATTAGGCAACTTGATGGCGAGATCTCACAAGGGCAGGGTTGAGCAGTTGCTCCCACATCAAAACCCCAACTTGGCCAAGCTTCCCCACAGGCGACAGATTAGACTGCTGGAGGTTCTCCCCTTCCTCCACCCCTGGCACCATCACAGGATGACTGTGTTAGCAACCCCAAGGCCTGCACAGACCGATGCTGCAGATACAGGGCACAGTGCTAGACCTGTTGTTTCAGCCACGATCCTCCCAACTCCCCCCCAAGCCTGTCTCCAATGCCTCTGCTCCCTCTCAAACATAAGCATCTGCCAGGAACTCGAATGGAGCGGGCAACCAGGATATGCCGAGCCAGGGCCCAATGAGATCACATGCGCAACGAGCCAATGTCGCATGCTGCATTGCCTACTCATGCCTGCCTGCACCACTTGGCAGCACCTGGACCGCCTACACGGTAGGCATCCTAAGCCGACTCCACTGCCAGGCCTCACCTGCGGGCCATGCTGCCCTGAGCAACAAGCTGCGGCGCCAGGCCAGCACCCTTCCACAGAGTGTCAATCCCCAACTGCACGGGAGGTTTCTCCTCCGACTGCAGCTCTGTACCTGCCTATGCTTTGTGAGCCTGCCCCCCGAACCCCTGAAACCCTACGGCAACAGACTGTATATGTCACAGCTCAGCCCTTCCTCAGGTGTACCAAGTCCCAACAGCCTAATACCTCACTTTGCGACACCTCTGGCACCCTCCGGCTCCACTCTGCCTCGCATGCCAGGCCTATGCCACGCTCAAGCGAGCACCAACCTACTGGTGGCAGGACCGCGTGGCCTGGGAAATGGATCGGGTCTAACTCCCAGTCCCTGTCCTACTTGCAACCAACGTGGACACGTGCAGGGACCTCTGTACGAAACTATGGCCGGTACAGGTATGAAGCTCTCCCGCTGCCTAACATGCCGCCTGTGTGTCCCAAAGAGTGCAGGTTCAAGCTCAGTTTCCAGCTACCTCTAGGGATTTCATCCGCAGGCATGGACATGGACTCCGATGACTCCGAACTGCTTGAACCTCCTGCAACTCTAGACTCACCGCCAGATGGCTTGGAGAGCGAATTCCCTGAACTCTTTGCCTCCTCAGCCGATGAAGCAGCACCTTCGGAGATTGTTACGGAGGCCGATCAGACAGGAACACGGGCACCTGGAACACCGATTGGAGCCCTGCTTCGCACTATCCCGCGGCCTCGCGCAGATTCTGATGAACCCACGGGCCTACCTCCTCCTCCTGCTCCTGTTCTGCTGGCAGGCTACGGCAATGGCACACCAGTGGAGGCCTTTCGAACACCACCGCCTCACATTATGCATCAGCCTCCTGCACGACCAGAAGCCGGCACTCGACACAGACCTCGCCATGTAGCTAGGCCGAGCCAGGCCCCTCACTTGAGGGGACCGAGCATAGCCCCGCACTTGAGAGTAGAGACACCAAGCTCTCGCTCTGCTACCAATGCTGTGGGGCCGACCTCACACATGATGACGGATGCTGAGCAGGCCCACAGTGATGAGGCAACAGGTGGAGCAGACACGGAGGTGCTGACCGTCGAGATGGGCCCAACAAGACACCCCGCTCCGGGGACTTTCGCCAGCTCCTCCGCCCTGCAGGACAGCCGCTTATCGGAGCAAGCAGATGCCCAGGCTAGACCTCTCCCAACTCGACGCAGCAAGGCATGTGCGAAAATGCTAATTAGAGCGGGATACCGCTGCTGCCACTGCTACGCCATACGTGCAGCTTGTACATGCTCAACCGGCTTCGGCAAAATCGACACCCAGCCGAAAAACCAGGATCCGACTAGAGCTGATGTGCCTTCACTCTCTGCATTAGGCAACCCGGCCAGTGAGCAGCACCACCCCCACTATCCTGCCCAGGACCACAGCGACGACACCAGGCCCCGGACCGACACTCAACCCTCCTTCCTGCAGAAACATCCGGATGCCATAGAAGCTATCTTGAATAAGCCTGAGGTTTCTCCTCGGCCTGTACCTCTCAATCACCCTGATCTTGTAGGCCTTCTTCCCCATAGGCCTCCACACGGTACACTCTATTCAGCGCCTTTCTTCGCTACATCCTGGCACCACAATGCCGTGAGCAGCCGCTGCCTTCTGAGTGTATACTCATCTACTTCCCCCAGACAGCTGATCAAGAGCCAACTGCAGCCTCCCCACGCTCAGGGCTCCAGTCGAGAAAGGGCCTATGTTCGGCCCATGTCAGCGCCTGCCTCAGCTCAATCTTGGGGATGCAAGTACTTCAGAACAAAGCCTGGGCTTCGTCCACTATGTGGCAAACCCCTCCGGTGGACAGTGGTCAGAATCGACTGGGGAATGCTCCTTAACGCCGCCCGATCCCGCATTTGCCACCTACTAGCCACACCCTATACTCAGCTGTCGCTGATGACCCAGAGCCTACGACGATCCTGTGCAGCCTGGAAAGCCCCACTGAGGTCATCCGAACACCCCCGACTACAGACAATCATGACAAGGAGCCGTCCGGGTCCCAAGTCCCGGAGCAGTGCACTGAGACTAAGCCTGTTCATGCGAAGCATAACACTGTCTCTCAGTATGCCTGCAGACGCGAGGGTAGAGGGCGTAGTCACGAGGCCCTCGGAAGCTGGTTCACCAAGCCACCCTCAGCCTAACATAAGATCAGTGAAGCCACGTGGAATAAACACCAACCGGATTGTGGAACCATCCGCCCGTGCTACTGATTACGAGCAGCTTACCAAAATAGGAAAACGTTCATTTCACAGAGCCATCAAGCGTGCAACTCAGCAGGGCAGCACTATGTACAGAGGCCGCCTCCATACCGTCAGATCCCTGGGTGCTACTTTTCACCCACTCGACCCTTCAGCAGCCAACTCCCCGTGCCATCAGAACCTTACAGCCCATCCGGAGCAAGGCCACTCCCACCCCTAGATGGAGAACTGTGGTGTGGAACACAGGCGGCCTGACCTCCGCTCGTCTCGCCGAAATTACCACGTGGCTGAAATTATGTAACGAACGAGGACCACTGGTCCACATCTGCATCCTGGCAGAGACACATTGGGAGTTTGAGTCCGAATGGACTACAGACGAATATTATGCGCTCCACTCCGGCCTGAACCGAAAACAGGCTGGACTGCTTGTACTCGTACACAAATCTTTCGTAGGCAGCCAAGCAATAAGATCCGCCTCCATTCTCCCTGGACGCCTCTTCCAAGTCCGCTTGGACACTGAGCCGGCGGTTACCCTGGTGGCGACGTACCAAACAGTCTGGGCTGATGGCTCCAAACAGGAGGACTGCATGGCACAACGAGAACTCTTCTGGACAAACTTCGAAGCTGTCCTCAAGAGTGTCCCTGCACGTTCCCAGCTTCTAGTAGCAGGAGACCTTAATACCCCCTGTCTTCATGACCCGCCGCATGTTGGCCCCAGTGTGCTCGCGACGCCTGCTACAGTTAAACAAAAGGACCAACATCGACTACAACAAATCCTGCGCATGCACAACCTCACCGCCTTAAACACATGGGGCAGAAAACGTCATGCCCAAACATACCAATTCACTACAGCCACCACCACCCATCAATCTCAGATAGACTTTATCCTCACTCGGCAACAGCATGCTGACCCGACTGCCCGCTCAGCTCGCACAATACATGCTCCATTCGTGCCTGTGTCTGGCATGCGACATCACCCACTGCAAGCCTCCCTGCCGTTTCCGACAGCACCTCGTACCAAGGTCCAGCGATCGGCCAACGACAGAGCAGCCAAGCTCCCAGCGTGTGAGGTTACTCAAGCGCTCCGCAACGATCCAGCTTTAGCCAGTCGCTTCCAGAGCGCCGTGCAGGCTATGTATGTGCCACGGGACCAGAAAGACCCAGCCCAAAGCTTGAATCTCACACTGCTCCAGGCCTGGAAAGCGGTCTGCCCTCCTCGGCCTACTCCTCAGAAACAGCCAGAACACAAGTCAGTAGGCCTCGTTAGGCAGCTCTGGGCCCTCCGAGCTCAACTCAAACAGCAACAAGCTGCCCACACCATATTGGGTCGATGGCTGCTGGTCGCACGTCTTTCCCGCACACAGAAGCTTCTCAAACAGGCATGCAGAAGCAAAAAGAAAGAGAAAATTGAAGCCCTGCTTGAAGAGGCCGAAAACTCCCCTCACCCCTCTACCATCTTCAGTGTTATTCGTCGCCTGGCCCCCAAATCTAGATCCTTAAGAATCCAGCTCCGTGACAAATCGGGCAGACTCCTCACTGGACAAGATGAATGTGAGCACATAGCCGCCTTCCTAAAGCAGGTCTTCCATAGTGAGGATAAGACACAACCACCCTCGCACCCTCCCATTGATGGCATGAGCTTCACAAAGGCCGACCTTCTCTCTGCCCTGGGAAGGATGGCTGGCAACAAGGCCTTACCGGCCTCCTTTGCCCCGGCCCGACTTTGGAAATTAGCCTCAGCACAGGTCTGCCAAGCCCTGCTGCCAGCTATGAATCTGCAGTCTGCGGAGCTTGAGCCGGAGTGGCATAAGGTTCAGCTCCACATGATACCCAAAGTTGCCATAGTGCGAGAACCCAAAGCCCTCCGCCCCATTGCCCTGCTTCACCCTGCCAACAAGCTCCTGGCCACTATGATTGCAGACCAGGTGCAAGGCAAAATTGCAGCATACCTCTCAGATGTCCCCCAGTGGGCATACCTTCCGGGCCGCTCCACAGCCGATGCCTTAGAATCTGCATGCTCCCACCTCCATCAGGTCAGATCTCTCGTTCAAGCTAACACACAGACCATCCCTCAACGCTTCCAAGGCCACACACCACACCAGCTCATAGGAGGCATCTCAATCAGTCTAGACGTCAAGAAAGCCTTTGACAGTCTGTCCCATGGGTTTCTGGAAGAGGCGATGCGTGAGGCGCTCTTTAGTGCGCAGGAAATCTCCCTCATCCTCCACCTCCACTCCCATGCCTGTCTTCAGGTCAGTAGTGGAACTGCGAAAGCTTCCGTGTACTTAGGAACAGGGGTGAGACAGGGATGCTCCCTATCCCCACTCCTATGGGCCCTAGCCACAGGCCGAGTCTACAGACTGTACCTGGCGGCTCTCCGAGAGGACTCTCTTCCCGAAGGCCTTACAAACATGTTTGCGGACGACTTCTTTGGCAGTTGGACATACAGGAGCCCAGACGCCTTCCGTGCAGCTATCCGCTCCATAGGCACATTAGTCCACACTCTGAAACGAGTTGGCCTTGAATTGAGCTTGGAAAAGACGGTACTGCTAATGGCCTCAACAGGCACCAGTGTCTCCTCCGTTGTCGGAGGTTACCGAGTCTACAAGGAGGGAGCCACCTATCTTCAGATACCAGTCGGGCAATCAAGAGTCCTCTTCAAAGTGGTCAGCTCGCATAAATACTTGGGAGCGCGCCTCTCCTACCAGGGGTTCGAACTCCTGAACCTGAAACACCGCTTAGCTACTGCATGGGGTAGCTTCTGGCGCCTTCACTCTATCCTCATTAGCCGGGCACTGCCACTGCACACCCGGACTAGGTTATGGATGGCTTGTGTCTTCAGTGTTCTTCGTTACTCCCTCCACCATGTAGGCCTTCCAAAGACAGGCCCCCTCCTCATTCGACAGGCGGTCCACCGACAGCTCCGAATGATCGCACGGTCCCCGGCACACCTCTGGCACGTGCCCTCCAGTGACATTTTGGTAAGACTCGGGGTCGAGGATCCTTGGATGCTGCTCAGTAAGCAATTTCCAGGAGCTCGATCCACACAAGCTCCTATGCACCAGACGCCTCAGCATCAGCTGTGGAGTCACAAACTCGCTGCCTCCTTCTCCCTGCAACCCCTCGCCACCGAGCCTCCCACTAGCCCCGGCAACTCAGGATCACAGATCTCCTTCCCGGCGAGAAGGATCACCTCTACTGACCAGGACATCCTGCACTGTGCCAGTGAGCGACGCGTGCATGCCTATCGGATTCTAGCTTGCCCGCACTGCCAACAGCAATTTGAATCCCTCGGAGCCCTTAGAGTACACGAAGCAACCAAGCATGCGCCACCTAAGCTGGAACCCAAAGCAGCTTCCTCCACGGACACCCCTCAGCCAGTCCCTTCCTCTAACCCGCCTGGGCCAGGCAGATCCTCCGAAGCAACAGCTCAGCCAGAGACGAAGATCAACAACCCCCCCGATTCTGCATCGCCTCATGAACACAAGAAATACACAAGGCGTCAGGTCTCGGCCCACAGCTCAGCCCCAAGCATGCAACAAAATCTCCCTGAGTGCCTCAAAGCAGCGGACCCTCAAACGTGTTTCTCATGGCTACACGCCAAGGCTGGGCTCTGCATATGCCGACACTGTGACAGGGAGTGTGCCAGATGGGACGAACTCAAGATACACATCTTTACCAAGTCATGTCCGGTACTATTCCCTGATGCCCACGTCCCGATTTCTAGCCCAGCCCCACCCAATGCTCTCGGTCCCTACTGGCAGACCCATGTGAAACAGCTGTCCCTGGCTAGCTGGGAGACTATGTTTCGCGCTATGAAGGAAAAAGACCCCCGGTGCTATCAGTATTGCCCCATCTGCAATCAGTGGCTTGTAAAGGCGAGAGGCCTCACGTTGCACGTCAAGGCACATCATGCCTGGGCAGTTGATGCCCTAGGTAAAGCTCGCCTGCACTGCCAATGCTTCCGTAGGGGTTTGGCCCTCAGCTCGCCCTGCCGATACTGCGGACTTCGCTTCAAAGGGGATCAGGCCAAGCATGCTTCGGAGTGTGCTATGATAGTCTGGGTCAAGTTTCTCCAGCTTCTGCTGAATCCTGAAGCCTTGCCCCTTCCTCGCAGGCCCGATGGATCTCGAGGGGGTCACGAGAGAGGAGTTAGAGGAAGCGGCAGCGGAACTGACCCACCTCCAGACAATGGCAATACAAGGCAGGAGACTCTTCGAGCCCCTCCAGTTCTCAGCACCCAGCCAGGCCGCGATGCCCCTCCCTCTTCCCACTCCTCTGCACTCGGAGGTTCCGGGGGCACATCCTCCGACAGGCCCCTCCATTCAGGGTCTCCCCAGTCTCGGATCACAGCACGAGGAGACGGACCAGCCCTCCAAGTACTCCAGGCCGAACGACAAAGGGCAGGGAGGGAAGGGCCCAAGGAATGCTCAGCAACCTGCTCGACGACACTTCCCATCGCGAGCCTCGCAGCCCTCTCATCCGGGTCCCAGCTCAGCAAGCAGCCCACCCTCCAAGACTATGGTTTCCTCCAACCTCGTCCTGCAGATCGCACAGTTGGTGCTGAGGCATGCCGACGCGATCAACGCCCTCGAACAATCCACCACATGGATCATGTTTCAAGGAACGGCGCCCCCCCTCACGGCGGTGGACCTGCAAGCTGCCATAGCCACGGAATGGCATCAGCTCAAAGACAACAACCCTTCGGCAGTGACACAGCCGTTGAGAGTCATCTTGTGGCAGACCTGGGCCTCGGAGTTGGTGAAAAGGCTTCAGCTCCTGACTACGGATCAGGAGCGCCGTCAGGAGGCAGTGAAACTCCAGATATTGTCGGAGCCGGACTGTTTCAAGTATGTCAAGTGGAACTCGACCCAGAGACGCCTGGAACCCATCGAAAGCATAGCGCCACTGACCTTGTCGGAGATAGTGGGCATGCTTCAAGAGACGATCGTGCTGTGCAAGGAGGACGGCGTTCTCATCAACTTTCATCCGATGAGACGCCTGACTCCCCAGATGGCAGGCTCGGCAGTGTCGTTCTCTCTACATCTAGGCCTCAGAGAATCCCGTGCATATCGCTTCTGGACAATCATCGAAACCCTAGCTGGAAACTCCTCGCTCCAGCTAGTGGCGACGACGATTCGTCGCGACAAGCGCGGCCGCTCGCCGCTGGCACAGGCGATCGAGAAGGAGCTTCGCAAACAGCAGTCACCTTGAAGCACTTACGACAGATAGCCCTGGCAAACCGATCTAATGACTGTTATGCCAACTCAGTCTTCCTAGCAGTGGCATGGGCGTCTGTGCAACATCAAGGACTCGCTGAGACTTCCAAGCTTCCTTCTGTGCAGGAGGACCTTGCAGCCCTCTTGACTGATCCTCCGCCTGCTAGTCCCGTCCATATATGGTCCAGACCTGTGTGGCGCAGGAAATTACGCCACTGGCCGGACACGGGAAGGCAACAGGATGCAGCTGAGTTCCTCAGTCACCTCAACCAGGCCTGTCAGTTTTCTGCCTTGCAAGGGACTTGGGCCATTCTTCAGCAAGGTCAGCTATTGGACTGCGGACATGTAAGCCCTCTTCTCCTCAATTGCGACCTGACGTCCCTCCCACGCACACGTGGGATCAGCACCTTGCAAGCTGCTGTTCACGCCTGGCATCGCCTCCCAGGCAATCCAACCCTTGCCTCAGGTGTTACCTGCGCAGTGCTCCAGCTGAATCGCTTCAGCTCTGAGAGTGGCCGAGTTAGGAAGACCCGAACCCCAATAGCTCTGCCCAAAGAACTGAGAGTTCCTACGTGGCAACATGATTCAGTCGTGCAGGTTCGGTACGCCCTTAGCGCTGCTGTTATTCACCTTGGGGGTTCTCCTAAGGAGGGCCACTACAGAACTCTCCTGTTCGACCAGGGTGGTAGTGTCAGAATCACTGACGATGGGACCCCCTCTACTCCACCTAGTAGGGATCTGGCTAGGGTTACACAGGAGAATGTCTATCTCATCGTGATTCGACCTGTCATCGACCCACCCCCATAATTTTGTAGTTGCATTCAGGCTCTTCTGCTCAAATCAGTTACGAACCTGATGCGATCAATGGACCATGCAGCGATACTTGTTTCTGATGGCTTAGTGGTTCTTGTGTTGCACTGTATTCGTACTCTGCTTTCTACGACTGCAACGGTCCACAAGGCCCTTAGGGGCGGTCAGGTTTAGGGTGGATGGCTAAAAGAGCCATGAGGCACCGGCCTCCACACACCAAGTGTGCCGATCACGCTTAGCGGACCAACTCTGCTGCGCACGTGAGTGAGTGAGTACTACTACTACTACTACTACTACTACTACTACTACTACTACTACTACTACTACTACTACTACTACTACTACTACTACTACTACTACTACTACTACTACTACTACTACTACTACTACTACTACTACTACTACTACTACTACTACTACTACTACTACTACTACTACTACTACTACTACTACTACTACTACTACTACTACTACTACTACTACTACTACTACACTACTACTACTACTACTACTACTACTACTACTACTACTACTACTACTACTACTACTACTACTACTACTACTACTACTACTACTACTTACTACTACTACGACGACTACGACTACGACTACGACTACGACTACGACTACGACTACGTCGACGACGACGACGACGACTACTACTACTACCACTAGTACCACTACCACTACCACTACCACTGCTACTACTACTACTACTACTACTACTACTACTACCACTACTACTACTACTACGACGACGACGACTACCACTACGTACTACTTACTACTTGCTCCTACTCCTCTAACTCCTCCGCCTGCTCCTACTGTTTGGCTACCGCTACCGCTGCCGCCGCTGCTACCGCTACTGCTGCTATTGCTGCTGCGACTGCTGCTACGACCCGCTACGGTTATTACTACTTCTAGCAGTACCACTACCTCACCACTACCACCACTACGACTACTACCACTGCGACGACTGCTTCCACTACCTGCTACCACAACTGCGACGACGACATCGATGACGACTACTACCCCCGAAAAAGATGGCCTCCCAAATTCTCATGTCGCACGATCACAACTAGCTTTGGGATTTGAAACAATGACATCGCTGCCAGCTACGTTCTGTCGTTCAGATCAGTCTCGGCGCATGCTTTCGGGGTCAGGGTTTTGGTAAGATCAGCATGCACCTGTCAAAACATGGCCTGCGCTTCCTAAACTCGGCCTCTGACGGCCTACATACCGTCTTACCCCGATCCTGCCAAGTCTTGATTTCCTGCACAATCGTCACTCCAAGCCAGAAGCCTGGAAACCACTTTGGAGTTTTGCAGGCAGCCCTCCAATGCATTGGGAGGGACGGTTCCTGACTTTAAATCCAAGCCGATTCCTCGTGGCACATGATGAAACACTTCTTGTCTTGTAAGATGCACATGTGTTGAAACATGTGTATGCATATGTACGTAGGGACACTACTAGTGTGTATACATATCAGCCTATGAACATATAGCCCTGACTTACACATCCCTGAATGTTAACGCATATGGGATCACAGCACACAAAAGCTTCGTGATGGAATGCCACGACCACTAAACAAATCCATGCACGTATGTATACGGATTTATCTGTATAGAGTTGTATACGCAGATACACAGGCAGATAGCTAGACGGAGTGGGGAGGGATAGATAAGGATATATATATATATATATATATATACATATATAGGCAGATAGATAGATATATAGGTCGAGAGACAGATAGACAAGTTCGTAGATAGGGACACAGAGAGACAGAGAGCGAGAGAGAGACAGAGAGAGAGAGAGAGAGGGAGAGAGAGAGAGAGAGAGAGAGAGAGAGAGAGACAGAGAGAGGGAGGGAGGAAATCGCGAGAACGAGAGCGAGCCGGAGTGAATAAGACAGGTACAGAAGAGAGATAGATACACAGGGAGACAGAGAGACAAACAGCATTGACAAAGCTGGATAGAGAGAGTTTAGATAGATAAAGGGTCAGATAGACAAATAGATCGTTCGGTAGATCCTGAGACGGTTAGGATAGGACCGGATGGGACGGGAAAGGATTTTAGACAAAGCGATACAGTACATGGATGGAAAGAGACATCGATGGATAGAGAGGCAGACAGACAAAAAGATAGCCAGATTAAAATGAAGATAGATAGTTACGTATCGGAATTCACTTGCAGACGTCCTTCAAAAGACGTCACTCTGTTTCCGCGACACCCAGCAGCATCTCAGCTGCATCCGTTCACACGCAGCGCGCACCATAGCCTCCGAAGCTACGCGTACACTGAAATGGATGAGGGTTCTACGGGGCTCGTCTTTGGTCTCAGGGGCTGTAGGGTCTAGGTTTGTCTTGGGGATTCGATTCCAGGGGGTTGGATTTAATCCCACCGATTTCGGGCTTCAGGGATTGTGGGCGTGAAGCCTTATGCGGCATGGCTTCTTCGATTTCTTTGAAGGGGGAGGGTGCGGGTCTAGGGCTTGTTCCTTGGCCATTTTGAATATGTATGTGGTGAGAGTTGGTTCCACTGCGATAAAACTCTGGTCCTCAGTTATAGTTCGCGGTGTGATGTTTCAAAGGGCTCTCTTACAACAAAGACCATCCGTTACGGGTGCTGTCTGCCACTTGCAACTCGGCAAGACCATGCGAGGACGGGCTTGAGGTTCGGAACTATTGAGCACCTTCGCACAAAGAGTGGGCCAGTTCTTCAATCAACCGACGCAAGTAGCCACTTTGGGATCTTGACCCACTTGAGACATGAGGATGGCAGGATTTTGGTGCCGTTTGATCTGGAGTGCCTGGCACGAGGAGGATTATTACCAGAACACAATGTAATCGCGTGTCCTGTGAATACAGTGTCTGCACGTTGAACCAGCGGCATAGTCTGCGAATGTTTGTATAGTACTGGGGATAAAACGCAGATGTTGACGAAACACCTTCGGCACCCCACTGACCACTCAGCATCTTTCCTCATGCGCCAGCAGGACCACGTGCGCTGCTTCCGACGATTGAGAGGCCAGCCAGTACCTCGCAAGCAAGTAAATAAGTCCATGAGCACACCTGCACGCAACACAGCATACACATGTGTAAAATGACTCTCTCTCTCTCTCTCTCTCTCTATATATATATATATATTGTTTCACACATTATGTGTACATGGGTAAATTACACGAAAGAGTAAATACAAATTTGAACAAACACATATATAAATGGTGCCCCCCCCCCGTCGTCGGCCCACATTCCTATGTCGCTTCTTTGCATACCATAAGAAAGCCGCAGCCATGTTCCGACATTGAAACAGGGGGCGGAGGAAGCAAATAAACCCAACGAAGAAACAACAACGAAGCTCAACGAGCAAATTGGAAATATGGAAAACCTGACTAAGTGAAAACCATAAGAACAGAAGAAACAACAGCTTGACAACCAAACAGACAACAAACTGTAGACCGAACTGTCAGAAACCAACAATCAAGAAAACAGCTGAGCAACGAGAAGAAACACAACAAACAACTCTCAGCCTATGTTGAACATAAGCTCGTATTGCTTAGTGTTTGAGTGTTTTGGACGTGATGTTGCTTGGGTTCCTGTGCCTGTATGTTTGCACGTAAGTACTCTCGGCAATGCTAGTTACGCACTAAAGCAGGTCCGGAGCATTTCCAACTGTTCCTATCTATTTAATAAACAGCATGTATGCAAATCTGGCTTTAGTGCTTCATTTGTCCATGTATCAATATATAAGTATACCATTAAATGAGTACATACATATGTATACACACACACACAAGGCTCCGAGCACGAATGTGTTTGGCAAAAACATACACAAAGTCTCAGATACGTGCAGTGCCAGCGTTTCATTTCCCCGAGCAAGCATTCGCTGAATACAGAACTTGCCAGTATAAAACCTGCTTTCTAGCATTCGAACAGAAAATGCGTATGTCATTGCTTCAATCAGGCTAATATGCAGTCAATAGCAAATCAGTTGGTTCAGATTCAAAGTGTTCGGCCTCATGTTTAAACTCAGCTCATTGTCATTGGAAGCTCAGGTGACGCACATATCACACATATGAGTTACTCAATAGTTTATAGAGTTTTTGTGTCATAGAACACATTCAGGAATGTCTGATCTTCAACAAACACTGGAATACCTACCTAATGCAGTCATACAGATAGG